GTTCACGGAAGAGGTGATCTAAAATTGTTCTAAAAGATACGACATGACCCCACGACTGGAAGGAAAGACGGACAGAGTGTGAACTATAGTTCTGACTTGCAGAAGAGAAAGAGAATCCTTCTGTCCCACGGAATTGAAGAATTTCCAATTCCCTGCCCTTCCCAGCCACTTGGCGGAGGACAAGCTTATTCCTGGTGGCAGGAAGCTCCACTGGGATCCATCATGCGCACTGATTCCCGCTTGCCCTTGGGTTTTAATGACCAATACGTGAAGTACCGATCGAGTCAAGCAACCTTGCCAGGGACGGTTCCATTGGGGATCATTAAAAAGATGGCCCTAGAGAGGCAAGACAAGAAAAATGTCTCAAAAGGAAAAAATAAGCCAGCTGAACACTCGGCAAACGTTGATTTTGAAAAGGCAGTAAGCCCTCATGTTCTGACTTCTCATATATGCTGGTGATGTCCGATACGCAGGAAGGAACTAATGCTGTTGTAGTTATGTAAGGGGACTTTTTGGAGTCTCCCTTTCTGCTTATAGGAAGTGCCCGCATGCAGCGTGGACCAGCTCACACCTGTGAGGAACAGTGAGAACAGTTTGGCTTAACCTGAAGCTCTTATTTCCTGGCCCTGCCTGAGTTAGGACCCTTTCATGATGTTGACTTCATTGAAGAAGAGGGTACCTGCACCTCACCCTACGTCTGCACGTCCCTGACTATTGTTAGAGTGGAGCCTGGTGAATTATGAGTGCGATGCTTCTTTTCTTGAAACGGTGACTTATAAATGTCCAGCAGAACGGAATTAGAAGCACTGGCCGTGTTCAGACCCTAAGCAGGGAGAATTTAATTCACTAATTCATCAAATATTTACTCGGGGCCTTAGGGAAGAGTCCTGATCCATGCTAGCTGCTGGCGTTCAGAGGTGAGCAAAGCTGCCTGCAGCCTGGCTTTCTGGCCTTGTTGGAGAAAGAGCTATTGATATTGAACAAACAGGCTGGAGTGAAGTGACAAGGTAGCCCGGGGGGGGGGGGGGGGGGGTAAGTGGGGAGAGAGACTGCAGATCGGGGGATGGCAGTGGGGTGGGAGGGTGTGGAGTTGGAGAGAGACTTTCAGTGAAGAGGAGATTTTGTGGTAAAACCTGAGGATGGAGGCCGAAGCCGGTTTGGCTCAGTGGATAGAGCGTTGGTCTGTGGACTGAAAGGTCCCAGGTTCGATTCCGGTCAAGGGCATGTACATTGGTTGTGGGCACATCCCCGGTAGGGGGTGTGCTAGAGGCAGCTGGTCGATGTTTCTCTTTCATTGACGTTTCTAGCTCTCTCTCTCTCTCTCTCTCTCCCTTCCTCTCTGTAAAAAATCAATAAAATATATTTAAAAACAAACAAACAAACAAAAAAAACAAAACCTGAGGATGGAGCAGCCGGGCAAGGGCCAGGCAGAGGGAAGGGCTCAGCACAGGGAAGCTGTTGGGCCGATCATTCTGGATATGGAGGGCAGGGGGAGAGTGGTAGGAAACAGTAATATGTCTTTAAAAAAAAAAAAATGTATGGGAAATATACTTTTCCTGAAGGATTTTTTTCAGACTATGTCATTTTTTATATTGAAGTTGAAAATTGGCAAACATGGAACCCAGCTCTGGGAGCAGATGCAGCCAGCTCACCTACGTGCCAGACCTTAATCTTGAGGCCCTCTGCCCTCTACCTGGCTGCTCTGGTCCGTTGTCGTGCCCCCCCCCCCCCCCCCCCATGCAGCTATGGCTGGGACCCCAGCAGAACAGGGGACCAGGGGACCGCACAGGCTCCCTCCTGATACTACCTGCCTGGCTGTGTTACCAGCTGCCCGGGCACTGAGAGTCCATATCATGCTAACGGGGTAATGGGAGGAGAATAGCCCCACAGGGCAGGCTGGCCCGCCCCTGGCTTGACCCTTCCCCTAGTTCTGGGAGCTCGCAGCCACTCATCCCGGTGAGGCCGGCCACTCCCGTCTCCTACTTCCCCTTCCTTCTAATCTGACAAAGGGAAGGTAGGAGGTGGTGCAAGCAAGTGCCTGTGGTAGTCACTGCTTTAGCTGGCTCTCCCATCCTATCACCATCTGTTTCCATCCTAGAGTCTGGAGCCAGGGTTATGACAGTCAGACAGCAAAAAGGCCTGTCCAGGCAGTGATCTCCAAAAACTGAACAGAAGCTGCCCCTCCCCACTCTAAAACAAAGTTTTATAAGAAGGTAGAACTCTAAACTCAGAGCTAGTACGGGGAGAATGCCAGTCCTTGTTACTTCCTTCCAAGACAAGCTGCAAGTTCAGTACCTGAAGTAGTCATTACAGCTACAGCAGCGAAAGTAAGTAAAATAGAAAGCGCTCGCTGAGTGGGCATTTCTGGTTTAGTGTATCATCCAAAGAGTTTTTTTATTTTATTTTATTTTTTTTATTCTGGTAAGAAGGCTTAAGGTGAGATCTACCCTATGAGCACAGGCTAAGTGCACACTAGCATACTGTTAGCTGCAGACACAAGGCTGTGCACAGCTCTCTAGCACCCTTCTTCCTGCTAAACTGAAACTTTATACCTGCTGAACCCCACCTTCCCACGTCCCCTTTCCCCAAGCTCCTGGCAACCACTTTCACTCTCTATTTCCATGAGTTTGGCCACTTTCCACACTTTCATAAGTGGAGTCAAGCAGCGTTTGCCCTGTGACTGTGAGCAGAATGGACCGAGCCTTTTTGAAGAGTTAAATAAAGTCTTTTACGAAGTTAATCAGTGCAACGTATAACGCCTTAAGCTAAAGAACTCTCGATTATAACACAGTATTCCCAAACTACATGATAGCACTCCCAAAAGACTTCCAGCAGAGAGGACATAGCTAGGACTTGCGTGAGAGCTTTATGATACTAATATAATCACAGATCAGCTTTGTATTGCAGGCGGTTCCCTTTCGTTATGTAGATTCCTCCAATATAAACTAATCACAAACTCAGTAACCACAGAAAGCATAAGAAAGTCTTTTGATGCCAGAGTGTCCTGCATGGCTTACTTTCCATCAGGCAAGACTGAGCTATAGCACTAGGTTGTCAGGTGGAAATAAAATGGAAGAATCCAGGAGTGTGCTAGAAATTACACGCTAGGTGTATGACTGGTTTTAGTTAGCTGAGGACCAGGGAAGCCGGCAGATTAGATGTGCCAAGCATTCTATCTGCAAAGCCAGAGGAAAAGCAGATAAGATACATTGCTTGGTGATCAGAGAAAACCAAGATCTAACATAAAAGATGCTTGGCAGTGAAGGCAGGAGAGAACTTCCATAAAAGTTTCTGCTGATTAACAAGAAATACTAACTTTCAATGAGGATTTGAGATGCAATGGAAACCTTTAAAAACTTTTAGTATTAGAATAGGTAGCTATACATCAAGGGTGGGGAACCTTTTTTCTGCCAAGGGCCATTCAGATATTTATAACATCATTCGAGGGCCATACGAAATTATCAACTTGAAAATTAGCCTGCTATATTTGGTCAAACATTTAATTAATTCACCCCTAATGCCTTGGTAGGGCCAGGCTAAATGATTTCGTGGGTCTTATCCGGCCCGAGGGCCGGACATTCCCCACCCCCGCTATTAATAATGCAAAATCTCCCATTTGCCAAGCAGTGTTTCAGACATTCAGAAGAGTAGCCATAGAATAGGGACATTAAATACACACACACACACACAAACACACCCAACAACACAAAAACACAAACTAAAAAACACCACATGCACAAACTTTATAGGTTTGGAAGTATATGAAATTGCCACATGAAAAAGTTCAAATATCAGAAATTTTATGTTTCAACAACCAACAACAACAAAAAGGTGGATGTCTTTCATTCAATGCTAAGAATAAAAACCTGAAGACATGATGATACTTTGTGGTTTCAAAGGAGGTTGACTTCTATGGACAGTAAACACAGCGCTAATATTCTATGCTAAATGTCTGCTTCGAGTCACACACAACTGTGGTCCCTCAGCACCCACGGAGATAAGGCTAAAAAATATATCCAACAACAACCGCCCCTTTTTCTTTTGTGTCTGACGTGACATCCATCCGTCATAAAATTCTATTCCCAACAGATTTCTCCACCCCTCTCATTGGATCCCCAAACCCAGCTATTAATGGCAAAACTTTTAAGCACAGCGACCTTCTGTGCCCACGTACACCCTACTTCCCAATCTATTATTCACCCACCTTCTCCTCCTCACTCCAGCCTGTCTCCACTGCTCTACTTTCTTCCAACCTTGGCGCACTGACAGTCCCATCTGTCCACGGCAGGTTCCCCGCCCCCCTCCTTTTAATACACAGTGATCTAATCTCTCCTGCCCAGAACGAGGCGGTTTCTGTGAGCCTCCGTGCCTCTGCCTCTGCCTCTGCCTCTGCCTCTGCCTCTCCCATGTTGTTTGCAAGACTGCATGCTAGCTTTTGTCATGTAACACCCAAACGTCTGCCAGTCTAGGTCCTGGATGGAGGCTTTCTCAAAACCAATGTAACCGACAAGGCTTCAGAAAACAGTACCTGAATTTTATAAATGAGGCTAATTCTACTAGGAGAGCGTTGTAAACACATTGAACTGACACATTAGGATAGAGGGAACTCATCTAAACCAGGTATGTTTCCATGGCAGTATTTCAGGAGTTACTTTCTAAAATATGCCTCACTTTCTGGACTCGGAAAATAAACACAGGGCCTGCGTGAACTGTCCATCCCAGTAAGGAGGAGGGAAGTAATTTGTAGCAGGAAGGGGATCTCAAGGTACCTTCAGCGTGTGTGTGTGTGCGTGTGTGTGTGTGTGTGTGTGTGTGTGTGTTTTGATGATGGAAAATATCAGAACAGCGCGGGGACATGTCTGACTCTGATTCTATGGGGCTTCATCACTTGCCACCTTTGATTCCGGCAGGGAAAGTGGCAGGACCTATTGGCGATGCCACGGACAGACGGACAGACAAACTGACACGGCACGGGCCCGGCAGAACCGGTGCTCACCTACCTTGAGTTGGCTATTTCCACTTTGGTTCTCGCCATGGCGGCTGCCCTCTGCGCGCCTTCGATGGCCCTGTCCACCTTCTCCCTAGTCTTTGTGTTTCGGATGGGGATCAGCTGCTTCCTTATGCCGCGGACCAGCACGTTGTTTTTGTACTTCCCCTCCTCCTTGGAGCCGTCGGGGAACAGGGTGCAGCCGTAGCCGTGCCTCTTGTTGTTGGCCCACTCGCCCTCGTACTTCATGCCGTTGGAGCGCTCGCTGACGCCGAAGCCGCTGCGCTTGTCGCTGCGCCACTCGCCCATGTAGGTCTCGGTGGTGGTGGCGTCCACGTGGTCCTCGGCGGGGCCGAAGTCGCAGTCCACGTCGCCGAAGCTGATGGTGGAGTTGGCGTCGCTGGAGCTGATCCTGCTCATGGCCGCGTCGCTGCGCACCGAGCTGCGCTTGCTGGAGATGGAGGACTTGGACTCGGACTTGCGCATCTTCATGCTGCCCAGGAGCGAGCCGCGGCGGAACAGGCCGCCCTTCTTCTTGCCGGCGAGCTCGGCATCGGCTTGGAAGTTGAGCACGAAGCCGCCGCGGGTGCCGGCGGGGGTGTCGGCGGCCGCCGCGGCGTCCTGGTGGAGCAGGCTGCCGTTGCTCTGCTCGCTGCGCAGCGAGGCCAGCGAGGTGCGCAGGGGCGAGCGGATCACCGTGGCCATGCCATACGGCACGCTCTGGCGCACCCCGTAGCCGTGCCGCATGCCGCCGGCCCACTGGCCCTGGTAGGTACCTGGGAGAGACCAGAGCACAGTGTGAACCTCGGGATCCTCGCCAGGGCCGCTGTCCCCCTTGGACAGCCAGGCGCGCACAAGGCCCAAGGTCAAAGCCCACAGTCTCCTCGGACCAAGGGCACCTTTTCATTCGGCAATCCCTGCCCTGTAACGGTGTCCTTATGCCTTTTTGGAATGGTATAGGATTTCCCAATAGATTGGTTTTGCTTTTCATCTAGAAATGTTTGCCAGTTTCTGATAGAACCAGAACTCAAATACCAAGAGGGATCACTGGAAACCAACTTTTTAGCCCTGAAATGAACACAGCAGAAATCCCTCTGATCTTCATAAGTTATATAAATGTCTAACACATTGTGCTGTTCACCTACAACTAATATTGAATGTTAACTGTAATGGAATTTTTTTATTTTTAAAAAGTAAAAAAAATAAAAAGAAATCCCTCTTAGAAAGGCAGTGCCATAGTGCAAGATGAAATGAGTTCTACTTGTGCATTTCATTATAATTTTACTATTAATGACTCTAATTTAGCCGAAAAACTCTAAAATGACTCTTGGGTCTGTTGGTACAACATTCCAACAGGATCAAGGACTTAACATGATTAAGGTATGGGTCAACAAACAAACTGTCTTAAATTTTCTTTCTACCATGGTCATCCTTTTGAGGGGGTGGGGAAAAGTTTAATATTTAGGATTCTTACTTAAATTTGGGTAGAAGTTTTTGCGCTAACAGTGAGTTGACAAAAACAATATATATCCTGAATACTGTGAACCATCATGAAAAACTAAGCAATTTGTTTTAACACTGTCCACTTCCAGGTGGACATAGATGTGGACGAGACTTACTATGGTGATCATTTCACAAGATACACACATATGGAGTCATTATGTTGTACACCTGAAACTAACATGTCAATTATAGTTAAAAAATATATGTATATTTAAAAAAAAGGCTTATCCCATATTACTTGCCAAATTTCTGCTTTCCCCAGACCATCCAATTTCCACTGGTCAGCAAACTGTGGCTCGCGAGCCAGGGTTTGCCGCTCTGTTGTCTAATGAGTTTGCTGACCACTGCCCTAGCCCATGCCACTGCATTGAGTAGAAGCACACTGAGGGCAGGAATTATCCTAAGAGAACACAACATTTCTAGACTCATGGCTTGTGTGGTTTGTAGCCTGTAGGTGTTTGGTAACATTATAGTAAACAGCTATGATGGCGAAAAAATACACTATTTATCCCCAGAAAAACTGGGATCAGGCCAAAGGAAACTTCCATTCTTAACATCATGGAATTCATCTCAGAGCGAAGATGTCTTAAAACTTTGATACCAGATCCCTTTTCAATGAATAGTATGCCTTTCCAGGAAGAGGATAATCTCTAAAGAATTTACGTTCAGTAAGATTTTCTATTAAATAAATTAGCAAAGGCACATTTAAAAAACAGACTGGTGCATTGTTTTAAATATTCTTAAGAAGAAATGAATGTTAAAATTAGCAAACTTAAATTTTTTCTTTTCACAATCAAGGCCATTTCCTTTCAGTAAAAGCAAAATTTATAGTACCTCCCCTTGGAAATATTGGGGAGGAGGAGAGAGAGGGAGAACACTTTGTAAAATATGATTGTCTAACCACTAACTGTTATACCTGAAATTAATACAAAATAATATTGAATGTAAGACATAACTGAAAAAAATAAACCTTTTGAATACATTATAGCTAATTTATGCAAACTAATAAAAAAATAAATTATAGCACCCCCCCAAACAAAGCTATGTGGAAATGGTAAGATGCAATTACTTTTGTATTCCTAACAATTCACAGGATCATAGAAAATGAATCATTACTACGGCCTGTCTTGACCTCCTTGTTTCTGATTTCCTAGAGCTACCTTGAAATCATTTTTCATTTTAAATTGCCACATCAGATATCCATTGGGTGGCAGGCATTTCATTTCAAAATTCTGAGCAAAAATGCTGGTTTTATGTCATTGTGTTAACAAGGGCTGCACTTAAAACCACAGTGGCCCCTAAATAAAAAAGAAAACCTAGACTAATTTCAAAATTACTCTCCCTTTCTGTTCATTCTGTTATACTAGTAACAGGTAATGTAGCAGGGCAACAGTGAAATAGGTCTGGTACTGAGAATGTCACATGCTGGCAGAAGTAAGTCTTCACCAGACATCCAGGAACTTTTGATTGGTAGGCGGGCAACGTCTTTCTCTGAGGTTTGTAAACCAAAAGGGCAGGACCAGTCATACAGAACATTTTAAGGTGAGAAACTCCCTGCTGAATACTAGCCATCTTCAAACATCACCACCTCAACAGAGAGGAAAATGGAATCATGGGAAATGTCCATTTTGACTTTACCTTTGCCCATAGAGATACAGTTTAAATTCTAGGTTGAAATGTATACAATCTTACACATACTAAAACAAATCACCTTATTTTATATAGTTTGTTTCTTTTAAATAAATGTGGAAGACTGAGATTATGTCCTTCTAACTTTCCTACCTAATGACAAGTTAATTTTGCCAGAAAAGTTTCCAGGGTGCTGTTGGAATCAGTAAGTAGAGTTTTTTAGTTTTATACTTTTAAACTGCAATCATATTATCCTAGTAAGTGTTTAGCAGCGAGAGAATACTAACGGCTAGTTTCTTTGAACTGATATCTCAAAAGTAAGACTAACATTTGAAATTTCCAAAGAAGTATTGCTTGAAAAACCCAAGCAGTCTACAGCAACAACAATTAGAAAGTTTAGGACTCTAATTAGCTGTCAAGTAGGGAAGGCCAGGCGAACAGCTGGCCACATTTCCATCCTATTCTGTTAAATCACAATTTATGGAAGAATTCCTTAGGGCCGTGGTCAGCAAACTGAGGCTCGCGAGCCACATGTGACTCTTTGGCCCCTTGAGTGTGGCTCTTCCACAAAATACCACAGCCTGGGTGAGACTAGTGTGAAGAAGTGGCGTTAGAAGAAGTTGAAGTTTAAAAAATTTGGCTCTCAAAAGAAATTTCAATCATTGTACTGTTGATATTTGGCTCTGTTGACTAATGAGCTTGCTGACCACAGCCTTAGTGGATTTGCTAGAAACCAATTTACAGCCAAACTGTTAGTAGTTTATCTGAAGTTTAAAATATATTTAGTTTAGTCAGTGAAACTAGAAAAAAAAGGGCCACTGTTTCTTTATGAGGCAGGTGGGTCTCAACGTCTTTCTTTGCTGCTCAACTGAAGCTCTAATGAGGTCCTCTCTGCTCCTTAAAGATAGATGCAGCTTTCACAAGCGCTAAGACTCATTTATACGGGCTTGGTTTTAAATTCTGTTCTATGATTTTTTTCACCTGGGAGCTGATTTTCTAGATAGAGCCGTTTTGTACTGGAAGGCCTCTAGTTCAGAACTAGTTCCAATCAAATGAAGACTGTTGCATGCAAACTTACATTTATATGCTACAGGTGGGTGTGTACAAGTACAAATACCGTTAACAACAATGTGTCTTCCTACACATTTCCAGTGGTTTTATGAGAGTTGGGAAAAAATGGAGTACAGCAGATCAGAATTTGCACCAAACATACTGGGCACCTCAACTTGGATTTCATGAGTCCAGTACCTATTTATTCCGATGTGATATTCAGGGGTTTCTATTCAGCAAGACTTCACACACACATCACCAATAAGGTACATGATATTCCTCACATAGAATTACTACTTCCTTCCTCCTCTAACTTACTGTCACCCCAAAATACTTGGGATCAGATTTTCCCTAAGTCCCACAGAGGGTGTACAGGGACAAACATCTAGGCAAAAAAAAGTAAAAAAAAAATCCCAAGCTAATTCAAGTAACAATAGGGAAAGTGATTAATTCCTATTTCGTCCAAAGCCTTCATATGAAATAAGTTATACACTTTCCACATAGACCCCATCTTTTATGAGTAAGGACTTTCTAATCAAAGAGTGACAAATGAAAGAAAGCAGGGAACCACTTACCACAAATAAACTCACAATTGTGATTTTAAGGTTTTCCCCTTCTTAATTGGTGGCATATTAGATTTTTTTTTTTTTTTTTTTTTAGAAAAAGAAAACCACTGTTTTATGGTGATGCCAAATTTTAAAGTTTTTATTTTTATTTTTTTTTAAATTTTAAACAGAAGGCAGATTATCCACAAAGTCAGCCTAAACACTTCTGGAGCTTCCACAAAACATACAGAGACCTTCACTGTGCGATATATATTTTTTGATTACTAGGTAAAATGAATACTCTAAACCAAGAGATTTTGTTTAATTGAGTAGTAACTTTAAAAGAAGAGTAATTTATTTTTAACCTTCCCGAACTATCCACAGCCTTCCTAAAAGGTGATAACATGATGCACACATTTAAAAAATAAATATTGTGTCCCACTTTTGAGCATGGAATTTAATTATATTGATGAGCTGGGGCCTCCAAGGAAATCCAATCACAAGCTAACATATTGATAGGGCTGCCTACCAAGGCACCCTGGGCCCGTTAACAGCATTGAAGGCCCTAATTAGCTACTGTGGAACTTGGGACTCAAACAGCCCATAGAACAGTATTTTAGAATGATTTTTTTTCCTTCCCCTTCATCCATGAGAAACATGTCTTTTATTCAGGACCAAAAAATGTCCTTTTTAGCATATCCTACTGTTTTGCATTTGAAACACGGCCCGTGTTCTGAGTAAGTGAAGTGTACAAATTGTATAAGTTTTTTTCTTTCTTTTTTTAAAATAGGCAAGTGGGGTTGCACTGGGCTGGAGGAACTTTTAATTGGGTCCTTTTAATATCTTCCCCCTCTGGGCTGCCTAACTCCAAAAGATGGCATCGCCCCCTACAACCTCTTTCAATGAACTATGGTTATGCTTATTATTACAAAATGTACTTTGCCAAAGCATAACCCTATTCATCTTCCTCAGCTCATTACACAAGGAAATGCATCAGGTTCTGACACCTGTTTCAGTAATGTATATCTCTCCCAGTGGAAAAGAAAAAGCCTGCTCTCCATGCACACACATTCTTTTGCAAGGGCTGTCAGGTGAGTTTTGTCCACCGTACTGTGTAGGTCACGCACCTTTGTGCAAATCAGTTTTGGGCACTGCCATTCTTAGGAGCAAAGCAGCTGCTCACTTAACTATCCAGATGATATCTCTCCATTGTAAATTTAAAAACCCAGAGTTCCTAGCTCATTTCCACAATGTTTTCCTCGTGATTTGTCCACACAGCTCCAGATCAACAAACACGACCATGCCTTTGACCAAACACCAACACTCCAGGAGCCAAATGAAAACTAGTCAATAAAACACCACACCCTCCGAGCTCCACCTGCGGGCCAGGTGCCTGCCCTCTCCACTCCCCTCGCCGGGGACGTTCCCAAACGCGCCCCACACGAGGCACCCCCACCTCCCAGCTGCGGGCCTGGCTGCTATCTTTAGGCTCCTAGAGGACCAGCAGCGAAATCCGACTCCTCCCCGTGAAACCCATCCGGGAGCGGCCAGCGCCCGTCGCCAGCCTCGCCAGCAAGCCCGGGACGCTCGCTCGCTCGCTCGCTCTCACTCCCGGGGAGAGGCGATTTCAAACGCGGCCGGAGAGGGAGGGAGGGATCGGAACGTAATGTGATGGGCTCAAGTGACAGGTCCCCGCTCCGGCCCGGCGTCCCGGGCGGGCGGCGGCTCCTCCCGGCGGCAGCGCAGCGCCCGTGCCCGCCAGGTACCCCGCGCCCGGCACCCGGTCAGATCCCTCCCTCCAGCCTCCCTCGCACCGGTTGCGTCCCATCACACCGTCCACGCGGGCGCGGGAGGTGGTGGGAGGCATCCAGGTGTTTTGGCGGGTCCCGGACACGTGCGTCTCCTGTCCCCTCTGCCACCCCGCAGCCCCCGCTAAGCCCCCCACCCCGCCCGCCGGCCGGCCCCCCGCGGCCCCCGCGCCCCGCTCACCTCCGTCCCCGTAGGTCTCCACGCCGTAGCCGTCCTGCAGCCCGTTACTCCAGGTACCCTCGTAGCGAGCCGGGGTGCACAGGCTCTGCCGGACCCCGTAGCGCCCCTTGAAGCCGTGGGACCACTCCCCCCGGTACATCCACTTGCCCTTCGTCTCCACCCCCAGCCCGTGCCGCTTGCCCTGCGCCCAGTAGCCCTGGTAGGTGTTGCCGCTGGGCCAGGTGTAGCCGCCCACCACCTCGAAGCCGTGCGACCAGGAGCCCGAGTACTCGCCCTGGCCCTTGGGCCCCGTGCAGATGCCGTGCCCGTGCGCCTTGCCCTCCTCCCAGCCGCCGCAGTAGGTGCCGCCATCGTCGAAGTCGAACCTTCCGCCCGTCATTCGGGGGGCAGCCCCGGCGCGCTCCCCGCGGGGGCACGGGCGCGGGCAGAGCGGGGCGCGGCGGGGCGCGGCGCGGCGGCGGGGGCCCGGCGGGCAGGCGCTGCACAGCGCCCCGGGCAGCTCGCGCCGCCGCCCGGCTCCAGTCCGACGCCGCCCCCGTCCTCCCCTCTGCCTCCGCCGGCGCCGCCACCGCCGCCTTCCTCCTCCTCCTCCTCCCTCTCCTCCTCCTCCTCCTCCTCCCTCTCCTCCTCCTCCGCCGCCGCCTTCACCGCCGCCGCCCTGGCCAGCGCCGCGCGCGAGAGGACAGCCCCGGCTCCGCCGCGGACCTTCAGCTGCTCCCGCCGCCCACGTGAGCCGGGCGCCGCCCCGCGCCCGCCCCTGTCCCCTCCCCGGTCCCCTCCCGGGGCGCCGGCCCGCCCCTGTCCCCGCCCCGCCCCGCCCCGGGCGCTCCCGCCCCACCGCGCCCCGCCCCGCCCTGGGGCGGCCGCCTCTCCGGCGGCGGGGCGCGGGGCGCTAGGGGCTGCGGGGGGGGGGGGGGGGGGAGGGGGGGAGAGGCGAGTGTCCCCAGGGGCGCGCAGTCCCCACCTGCACACGGAGGCGCGGCTGCATGCCTGCGGGCGGCTCTCTCTCGGGCTGCGGAGCCTCCGGGGGTTGTGCTGGGGGTTAATCAAGGTGGTGAAGCGCCTCTAAGCACGTCCACGCGCGCGCGCGTGTGTGTGTGTGTGTGTGTGTGTGTGTGTGCGCGCGCGCGCGTGGAGGAAGAACTCCTGGGTGCAGGATCGTCTGCATGGGCTTTGCAATCGCATCCCTTCGGCATTCCAACCTGTGTGTTCTGCTGCATGTGTCATGCCCAGCTGTCGTCATGACTCAGTGTCCCCCAGCCAGAGGCAAGCCTGTGATATATAAATCGGGGGCAGCCTAGATATAATTGCGTTCTCATACACCCACCCGTTTCAAAGCACATGTGTGTGCATTTATTGGATGAGGATGCAGGGGAGAGCGATGCGGCTTGAAAAAGCACGCAGTCAATTAGTTACTTTTTTTTTTTTTTTTTTTAATTTGGAATAACGGAGAGGTTGTTGTAAACCTGCTTTTTGCAGGGCGATGGGCCATTTTGCTTGTACAGCAGAGCCCACCCCCCTTAATGGCACCTTAGACATTCTCCAGCCTGAAGCTGTGTGAGTACCCTATGGGCAGGCGGCTCCATGTGTGTGTATTGGGTAAGTGTCTGGACTTTCCCGCTGGTAGCCACAGTGTAAGAAAGTAAACAGAAGCTTCCAAGGAAGTATACGGTAAGTAAAACACTGCCCTAAACTTACAGAGAGACTCTGACCTACAAGCCCGCGGACAGGTGTCAGCTGATCTTTCCAGCTACTACACTGCTTTGTTGAATTCACGTTCGACAACTCTTTAAACTTTGAAACGTCAGTATCACCATCTTCCACGTGGAAGGGACACGAATTGCTTTCCCCTTTCCATGGTAGATGGCAACTAAGTACTAATATACTGTTGGCGCAGGGCAAAGCCGGGCAATTAGAGAGTTGGTAACAGGCAAGTTGAATCAGTCAGCTGTCTCTGCTGAGAGCAGGCATTGGTCCGAACCGCATCCTCAAAATGCCCCCCGGAGACATTGGTCTGTAGCCAGGGTCTTAGGCTGGCCTCCCAAGGACACGCTTTGCAGAGTATTCACCCGATTCCTTAGGCCGAGAGGCTTTGGATGACTGAGTGAGCGCCAGAGGCTGCCGGAGGTTCTCTCCTAGGTCTCTGATAATCAGATAAAAACACAAGGACAGGTGTCGGGAAGGCAGCAGGGAAAAGTAGACTAAACGGCCCAGAAAAGGAACTGAAATTGACCTTGGTTGCCTCCATCTCAGGCCGGGAGCGGGCCTTTCCTGCTTATCTGGCTGAAACGCTGAAAGAAAAATCTCAGTTTACAGAGAACCAAATCACCAAAGAGAATTGGAAACCCTCATCTGTGGCGCTGCCTGCAGGGCTGCCAGGAATAGCGCTTACCCCAGTGGCCTGAAATAATTCCGCATCTTGCTCAGCATCTCGCCCTGGGCTGGGGATTGATTTAGGCCACTGGGAACTCAAGGGCCCGGGACTTTGCCACTGAGCCCTCACTGCATTTCTCTGTTATGGGATACACTGGGATCAGCAGCCAGCTAGCACAGGTAGACACATTTCCATTTATTTGGGTTCTGTTTCATAGGAGAAACAGTGTGGTGGCTAAGACAGCATGATTTTTTTTTTTTCCCTCTTTTAAAACTTTTTTTTTTTTTTCAGAGTATCCTTGTTCCCTGATCATATTTTTCTTGGAACTAGCCGTATGTATTGGATCCATATAGGAACATTTAAGGTCTACGATTTTGTTTGCAAGCATGGTGGAAACATTGAGTGATTTGTACTTTGCCTACTTTGCTGTCACACAAGTGACGAATTTTCTGGAATATACAGCACAAAGAAAGTTTCTAGCTTCTGTAAAAATAAAAAAAAGTTTGGTCCATCTATGGTGGAAGGACCCGGGATCGTGGTACATATACATCTGGGTAGAATATGGAAATTTGGGGAGGATAGAAGACACAGCTACCGTATTTTCCGGCATATAAGACGACCCCCTAATTTTACAGTTAAAGTATAGGTTTAGGCCTATATTCGCTGTATAAGACTACCCCCCACTACAAAGAAAAGACTTACTTTGCCGTCAAGATCTGCAGGTAATTTTTGTGCAATTTTGGTCTTTTGCCCCCGATTTTTGGTTGACTTTTTTTTCGTTTCAAAAGTTGTCTTGTACGCTGGAAAATACGGTATTTATCTTTTAATCTTTTTCTCTTCCTCTCCCTAATAATGTTTTCCTTGGAAGGAACCCTCCTTAAAAGAGAGAATCCACCACCAGCTATCTGCTATTAAGTTTTAAATCATCTTAATTGTAACCTGACTCTGCCATTGACTCTCTCTATGGAAGACATTTATTTATTGGATGCTTGGTTCCTCCCTGAACAATATTTGGCAAAGTAACAGTACAAGCCATGCTCCTGTGTACCTGCTGCCACCACAAGGGAATGTTTCTCCCAGTGCACTGATGTGTTTTCTGATGCCAGGGCTCAGGTTCAATGGTTGGAGAAGAAGGGAAGGTGAACTAGGAAGAAGTGCCAAGAATGATGGATGGCAGAGAGAACGCAGGGTTAGTGATGTCCTTATTTTCCCTCTCATGCTGAACCTTTGCCCTGGATAAGGGGGAGTTGAATTTAGCTTTAAGAAGGGATTAGTAAGAGGAGAATGTGAATGTGGGCTTGACAGGTGGGGTGGGGGAGGCCATGGAAGCCCAGGGGCCAACAACCTCCCTGGCAGTTTCTTCTCCTCGGTTCAGCCCAGCAAGCAGAGACTGTCCTTCAAGAAAACCCTGCAACCGAAGGTGAGCCGTTCTGTGTGACTCTAGTAACAACATGTGGGTGAGGGTGTTTAACTTCAATTTTAATCTTTTTAAAAATAACGAAGGTGTGTTTAAAATTTATTAATAGCTATTTGACAGATTAGAATTAATTCTGGAGAAATTTTAATAAAATATTTACAAATCTGCCAGTGTTTATTGTTTTAAAGGATGTGATTCCAAGTGTGTCTACAACTTGGACTCTACCTTGACCTCGATGTAAAGCAACTCTGAGAGATGGACCATGACTTACTCTATGTCAAAATGAGAATTATTTGCACCTTTGCAATAAAGCATCCAAGAATTTTAAGAAATTTGTCTGCGGTGAATATAGATGTTAAGAAATGTGGTCATAGTCAAAACTGGTGGATAGAGCCTCAGCCTGCAGACTGAAAGGTCCCAGGTTCAATTCTGGTCAAGGGCATGTACCTTGGTTTTGGGCACATCCCCAGTGGGGGATGTGCAAGAAGCAGCTGATCAATGTTTCTCTCATTATGTTTCTAACTCTCTATCCCTCTCTCTTTCTCTCTGTAAAAAAAAAAAAAATCAATAAAAAAAATATATATATGAAATGTGGTCATAAGCTTTGCAGACAACATGAGGCCAGCAGAAGAGAGTTCCAAAATGAATGGTTTTCACCCGCCTGGCGTGGCTCAGTGGTTGAACATCGACCTATGAACCAGGAGGCCATGGTTCCATTCCTAGTTAGGGCGTTTGCCTGGGTTTCGGGCTTGATCCCACTTATGGGACATGCAGGAGGCAGCCGATCAAAGATTCTCTCTCATTATTGATGTTTCTCTCTCTTCCTGAAACAAACCACAGCATGTGTGTATATATGTGCATATGTGTACATGTGTATATGATTACTTACTCGGTTAGATTTGGAGACACAGAGAAGCAAGACTCAGACCTTGCTCTTAAGACTATAAAACATCTCTAAAGAGGTAAGAGATTAAAAAAAAAAGACAATAAAAGTACCTAAGTGACCACTGTAAGTAGCAAGTAAGTGTCAAGAGTTTGTGGGCTGCTGGTTGAAGCTGTTTTGGGAGATCAAGGGCATATTGTTTAGCTTTGGGATAAAGTGGAAGGGGCATCCTTGCAGGCATCTATAGAGGAGTGGTCTTCAGTTAAGAGACAGAAGGAATGAAGGAGTCCGCGTCTGTGACTGAGGAAAGAGGTCCCTGGGATCTGGGGAAACAAGATGACAAGCTCCTCTCTCGTGGCATACTGAAAATCCGAATGCTTTATTCTGAGGCTAGGAAGATACTGGGGCAACTCAGTATTTGAAATAGCACAACTTGGGGGTGGCAAGGGAACATGGAAGTATATTTGGGAGTGTTGGTATTGAGATGGTAAGAGTTGTGAAAACTGATGGGATGACATTTCTCTGGAGAGCTGACTAAAGAAGGGAGGCACACACTACTGCAGAAAGCACTGCTAGGGGCTACACAGCCACCAAATGATGATCGAGGAAGGACAAGAAAAGGAAGCCAATTTGTAGGCAGTAAAAGAAAGGCCGGTTCTAAGTGGGGAGGAATGGTTCCCAGGGCTCTGGAAAGGGACATGAAAA